TATATAATGTGTTAGATGAAAGTTTACAGAGCAAATTAGTTTCTCATTAAACAGTTAATACACAAATTGTTTTGTGACATTGGTTGCCAACCCTGCGACGTGTCAACAGTCTCCGTTCTTTGCCCAGGTTCCCATTTGCATTCGTCCAGTTTTCCGGTCCCGTCCTACCTTCTCATCTTTGCTTTTGGGCTGGTGTGCCCATTAGTCTCATATGCATGAATTGAACTACAAAGCCCTTTATTATTGGCCCTAATAGCCTGTCTAATGTCACCAGTACTGAGTTAAAAGGGTGGCCGGGGGCCATATTCACAGGGTTGATATATTTTTTAAAAGCGTATTCTTATTATATAGGTAATACACTTTTAATGTATTTTTAAAAATTATTATCATCTCATTTACTATTCTATTATTTAATCTCCTTCATGTTTTCTAGTGTTATTTTGTTATTTTCTAGATATCGTAACTAGTGGCTTATGTAGGTTGGATTATCCCAATAGTCACGTATTCTCAAAGTATCTCCCTATAACTTATTAACCAGAAAGGAAAAAACAGTAACTTTGTAGTGGAGACAGCTAGTGGACACACATTAACCAAGTACCATATTTTGATGCAAATGATGCACGCTTTCTGTGTTTGTTTGCCAATCGAGCCCTCCCCGTTCAAGGTGTTTTCCTAAGTGTGCTGTGCTAATTCGCCCAGTATCATTTACGCTGTGTTCCTGCCAGTAAGGGACAGCTTGACTCTAATTGTAAGGAAATACTAGACAAAGTCAAACAGGATCATTTTACAGAATAACTGGCCTGGGTGGTGCAGGTGGTTAATGTGCTTGACTCCTATGTTCAAGTCCACCCAGGGGTGCCTCAGATGAAAGGCCTGGCGATCTGCTTCCAAAAGATCGCAGCTGCTGAAAACCCTCTAGAGCACAGCTCTCCTCTGATACCCATGGCGTGGCCATGAGTCAGGGCCAACTCGATGGCAACTGGACCTAGCATTCTTCAGAATCATCGGAGTCATGAAGTACAAAGAAAGGCTTAGGAACTATTCCAGATTATGGGAGACTAAAGAGATACGCCCATGAAATGCAATGCATAGTTTTAGTTTGGATCTCGGAACAGGAAAAAAGTCTTATAATAGACACTAATAGGACAATTGGAAAATTTGAATATAGTCTAAAGGTTAGATGATAGAACTTCATCAGCATTAACTTCCCTGAATTTGATAATCATATGGTGGTTATTTAATGGAATGTTCCTTCTTCTTAGGAAATACACAACCAAGAGTTTAGGGATAAGAGGGCATGATGTCTGCAGCTTACTCTCAAATAGTCAGAAGCAAATGTCTATGTTTGGCAAGAATGATAAAGCAAAGTGGAACCAAAACCTGTTGCCGTCTAGACGATTCCAACTCCTAGCGAACCTATAGGACAGAGTAGAACTGCTCTGTAGGGTTTCCAAGGCTGTACTCTTTACGGAAGCAGACTGCCATATTTTTCTCCTGCGGAGCTGCTGGTGGGTTCGAACTTTTGGTTACTAGCTGAGCACTTAACCACTGCACCACTGGGGTGCCTTCAAAGTGGAAAATGTTAACAATTAGCAAACCTGGGAGAAGCATATGCATGAGTTCTTTGTACAATTCTTGTAACTTTTCTGTAAGTGTAAAATTATTTCAAAATAGAAGGTTAAAAAAAAAAGAAAGGAAAACAAAGAAAAGTAAAAACCAAACAAGCTCCAGAACTCAGGCCTATCACTACTCCACTAAACTGTTTTCTCTGATGTCATTGATGACCAATTTGTTACTGTATCAGAGATTTTTCAATGGTTATCTATTTTACTTTATCAGTCTCTGCTTTATGAAATATGCCCCTCTCATGATTTTCCTGAAAGCACACTGCGTGGTAAGGATCAGCGTGAATCTAGTCCCCAAAATGTGGACATCGATCCAGTCCTCACGTTCCCGCTTCTCCTTCCTCCTCGTCAGCTGCTCCCATGGCACACACTCTCTCTCTCGATCTGACCCTGTCCACCTGGAGCTATATCAGAGCTTACAAATTAAAAGGACACCATCCTTCAGACGGCCAAGTAGGCAGACCCCAGCTGCAAGTTTGGGGAGTCCACACAACACCTCAACCTTCTGACCTGCTGAGCCCAAATTAGGGTCTGGTTTCCCACTACCCACACAGGATGCCAGCACAAGCTCAGGAGTCCACAAGACCCTTAATTTCTGACTTGTGGTTTCTACTACCCATTTTATGGAGCCCTGGTGGTGTAGTGGTTAAGAGCTTGGCTGCTAACCAAAAGGTTGGCAGTTTGAATCCATCAGCCACTCCTTGGAAACCCTATGGGGCAGTTCTGCTCTGTCCTGTAAGGTCGCTGTGAGTCAGAATTGACTTGACAGCAATGGGTTTGGTTTTTGGTTTTTACTACCATTTTGGGTTCAATAATTTGCTGGCATGACTCACAGAATTTACAGAGAGTACACTATACTTATGACTACAGATTTATCATAACCAAAAGGGTACAAACGAATAGAGGCACAGGACTAGATCTGGGAGGGCTCCCGACCCTAAGCTTCCATGTTCCAAGAGACACACTACCCTCCAGAGAGCAGATGTTCTCATCAACCAGGAAGCTCTCTGAGTCTCCGTGTTCAGGGCTTTTATTGGCCAGTCCTGCATGATAGGCTAAATCATGCCTCCTGGGGCTAGTTGATATCAGACTTCTAACTGAATCTTTTCTGGACTGGCCAGCCTCTGCTCACCAGCACAAATTCTCAGGTGTGGCCTGGAAGTCCCAGACCAAAGCATCCCAATTAAAGAGTTTTTTCTCCAGAGCTGGGAATAAAGGCTACCTAACTTCAGGTAAAACTAGGTCGTTTATCCCCACACACCATCCTTTGTCCTTTCATAGCAGTGTCCTTGAGGGCCCTCCTCCTTCTCTCCTCACTTTAAATGTTGGTGATCCTTGGGGTTTTATAGTAAGCTCTCTTTTTTGAGTGTACACATCTTCCCGAGTTTTCCTCTACTGTCTAAGCTGTGTTTCCAGCCCAGGTTGCTGTTTTGGGTTTCCAAACTCATACGTGCAACATGCAATAGATTTCTCCTTTAGTTCTCTCACTGGCATACATCTTTCTCATCCTTACCTTCCTCAGCCCGAACCTTGCCCCCTAAACCTGCTCTTTTGATGAGTTGGAATTGACTCAACAGCAACGGCACCTAACAAAAAGATCATCTCAGAGAATTACTGCCATGATCAACTCCATTGCCCTTGCCAGAACCTGGGCATCATCATCGATCCTTCTTTCTTCTTCTTGACTCCTGTAAACATCTCCTTTCTGTAGCCAGAGTAAACTTTCAGAATGTCAAATGGGTTCCTGTTATTCCCAGCCTAAAAGTCCTGCAGTGTCTCACTCAGCCCACATGAAGCCCTAACTCTTCAGCATAGGCATGATTCTGCACTATGCAGCCTCAGTTCACCTTTCCTTCTTTATCTGCTGCCACTCTCACACACTCTTTTCCATCCATCTGAAATACTTTCAGTTTTTCAAAGGTACTAGATTGTCCTTTTTGCTCCAAGACTTTACACTTGTGGTTTTGCGGTCTTGTTACAAACCCTACTTCTCCTTCACATGGCTAACTCCTACGCAGTCTCCACATCACAGCTTGGGCTTCCTACATGGAGCCTGTCTCATTCTCCAAAATCCGTATGCACCAAGAGCATCCTGTGCTTTCTGTAGCGAGCATACACACGGACGGGCCAGTGTCACGTCTGTGTTCTTCACTGCATTGTAAGCTCTGTGAGAGCATGGGTCAGACCCGCAAGCTTCACAGTTACATCCCCAGTGCTTGGCACCAAACCAACCAAACCCATTGCCGTCGAGTTGATTCCAACTCATAGAGACCCTATAGGACAGAGTAGAACTGCCCCATAGGTTTTCCAAGGAGCAGCTGGTGGATTCAAACTACTGATCTTTTGGTTAGCATCCAAGCTCTTAACCACTGTGCCGCCAGGGCTCCATGCTTAGCATTTTTTAAAGGGACGTTGGCAAAACAGCATGGATAGAGGAAAGCAGCTTGGAAGGTTGTGGGGTGTTTATGCTGAAGAAGAGAGAACTGAGAGTGGAGGGAGGCCAACTAACTGATTTCACCTTTTAGAACTATTAAAACATGGAAAAGGGAACAGACTTACTTTGCTTTAAGGGAAAGAACAAAAGTAGAGGATGCAAGCTACAGAAAGTGAGCTCATGGTAAAATCACTACAGCCCAAGTAGAGTGAGTGGCTACGAGACGCAGGCGGAAGCCAGGTAATCACCTGCGGTGCTCACAGTTTTGGACCTTCTAAGATTCCTTACAATGCGAAGTTGTTAGGAATAATTCAATATGCAAATATGTGTTATTAAAAAAAAGTCAATGGAGTTACACTGGTAGAATCATAACAAGTATATAGCCTTACATAAAACCGGAAGACCTTCAGAATTTTCTGAACTTTAAAAATAATTCACTTAATAATTTTTCAGTTTTTAACAGTTGCTTTTCTGACAAATACTTGCATAAAGTCAAGAATTAAAAGTTGCTACTAAAATTTAATCGTTAAATAATTTAAGCATATTTGAATACTCTTAAATTAAGGCAATCCACTCTTCTAACTAAATGGCAATAAAAGCTTTGCAAGCCAACAGGATCATCAGTGCAGAGAGACGGGCGTGTGCTTAATGAAAGTATTGACTTTACTGCATGTGTTAGCACATCAGCTTACATTATTGTATCAAACTGTAATTGAGAAGTTACTTATACTCTGGGTATTACTGAAATTTTTCTTAAATATTGAAGTATTTTATATCAAAATATATTAAAAGGCTATATAATACAAAGGGAATCTTAACTAGTTGAAATTTGTAATTGATATCTTATGATATTCAGGAATCTCTGAATCAGCCTTGAGGTTGTGTATTTTAAACTATGACTAATTTTTACTCAACTGATTTTTTTTGTGTGTGTGTACTAGGATTTGGAAACATCTCACCACGCACAGAGGGGGGGAAAATATTCTGCATCATCTACGCCTTACTGGGAATACCCCTCTTTGGTTTTTTGTTGGCCGGAGTTGGAGATCAACTAGGGACCATATTTGGAAAAGGAATTGCAAAAGTAGAAGATACGTTTATTGTGAGTATGATAGACTTTGAACTGCGTGTGTTTATTCTTTAATTTTTAGAAATATAACTTTTATATCAGGTACAGTTAGAGATTCACTTCTTGAGTTTCATAACAATTTACACATACCTCAAAAGGTCAGCAGTTCGAATCCACCAGCCACTCCTTGGAAACCCTATGAGGCAGTTCTGTTCTGTCCTGTAGGGTCGCTATGAGTCGAGATTGACTCGATGGCATTGGTTTAGTAAGTATGTAACTCACTGTATCATAATTATTTTTATATTGCTCTCAATAAATACATCAGTGTATTAGAAAACTTCACAGAAATGTAGGGAAAAAGAAAAAAAACCTAGACATCCGATAGTCTTGGGTTCAAATTCCAGCTATATTGTCTACTAGGTATTTTCTCTGAATTATTTTCCCCTCAAACCTCCATTTTTTTCATTTATAAAATCTGAATAATGGTCCTGATTCTGAGGCATTACTGTGAGGCTGAGAGGTGATGTAAGTTAAAGCTTAACACAGCTAGTAAATGACTGACAAGATTTTATTATTTAAAAAATTGCTTTGGTCCTCTTGATTATTGCTTGTGGCATTGTAAATTTATAGAGCCCTGTTGGAAAGGATATAATAATATACAGCAAGCACAATACAGGTGATCGTATAACTCAATTCAGTAGTGCCAATGATAGGAATTATCTATAAGCGTGTATTCAGTAGAACCAAAAGTAATATAAGTAAAGATGTTCATGGCTGTACTGTATTTCATTCAGTAGCAAAAGGAAATGAAAAGACAATGCTTTTATTAGAGTTTTAAGTGAAAGAAAAAATATTAATACCGCCCTGATTACAAGCTTGTATTGTTGAAGAAAATTATGGGGGAAAAATGATGATGTTAGAGGGTGGACTATAATTGACATGCTACTTCTATCACCACTATTACAGATAGATTTTATATTCCGTGTCTTATTTTTTCACAAAAATTCAACAAAATATTTTACACTTAACTCTATTAAAAAATAAGACTATTGAGTATTTTTTCTTCATTTTAAATTAAAGCCCTGTTTTATCATTAATTATGTTTCAGATTTCAGATCACAGTCAGCTCTCAAATATTTTTACTACAGAGTGGTATAAGGCATGGTTATTCCAAAATAGGAGGGTTTTTTGGTTTGTTTTGTTATTCTGCTTATCTTATATTGATATTAAAATTACCTTGCATTTATATTAATTGAGAGGGCAGCTTAGTGGCGTGAACTTGGTAACTCTGAATTGTTAATTCGTTCCACACATTTTGAGTGCCTGCTGTGTGCTGGGTATGTTTCTCATGCTGCATGTACGAAAGTGCGTAAAACAGATGAACTCCGTGCTCTTGGGAAGGTTGCATTCCAGTGACCGCGATTCAGCCTTTGGTACCAAGCACTATTCTGTGGACTTAACAAACATGCTCTCATTTAACTCTCACATATCTGGTAAGGATAGTGGACTAGAGGAACTCTTATTTTTCCTTCCCAATCTATGTTTCCATAGACCTTTATCTCTAAAAAATGTTCAAGCTCTAAAATTCAGTGATTTTGATATGCTGGGGAATATGTCCTATGATTTTCAAAATAGGTAGAACAGATCCAGTAGGAGATTAAACTATATGGCTACTAACTCTGTGGGGCAGTTCTGCTGTCATATAAAGTCGCTAAGAGTTAGAATCGCCTTGACCGCACAGAGCAGCCTGGAATAAAACAATTGCTGTCAAGTTGATTTCAACTCATGGTGACCCTGTGCGCGTCAGAGTTGAACTGTGCACCACAGCGCTTTCAATGGCTGATTTTTCACAAGTAGATCACCAGGCCCTTCTTCTGAGGTACTTCTGGGTAGACTTGAACCTCCAACCTTTTGGTTAGCAGCCAAAAATGTTAACCATTTGCACCACCCCAAAGAAAGAGCTGGAAATAAACTGCAGTATACACAAACTTCACTGAATACTTTACACCACAGAGAGTCCTGATTGGTAAAGGAGGTGGGAATGTATGGGTAAGCTTATGAGAGCTGCAGTTCTGGGGTGTTGAAGATGTATCATCGCCTGCCTATCTTGTAGCTTCCTTGGTTGTTTACCTTAAGGCCATAGACCAGAGAGACAACGTATCTGGCTCATAAGGGAATCAGTTATGGGCATTAAATCGGCTCGTGTTGTGCTCTAATCAACTGAATTAATGGTAGGAAAAAGTGATAGGAGTGGTAAGAAAAAATCTTCATGGACTTCATAATTTCATCAATTGTCAGTGGTAAATATTTAGTCCTTGAGTCAATTCTGTCTATTTTCAAATATTTCTGGATTGTGTTTGGCCCACAATCCATTTTATGCCTATAGAATAGAAATATTTCAAAAGCAGTTCAGGTCAACAAATAACGATCATGTAAGTCTGAAAGGGTATTCTTAGAGCAAATGTCATTTACTTTTGAAAGTGTTAAGGCTGTGTAAGGGTAGAGTTTTATCATTATTAGTGTGGATTGTGTTGAGTATGTGATACCCAATTTGTTGTAAGTAAAGACAATTAAAAATTAAGCATAAAAGGGAATAACACGCACAAAGTAAATTAACTCACTTGCTGATTTACTGATAACAGTGTATAGTTAGTTTTGCAGGCATGCCAGTAGTCAGTGGCTGTCTCTCTCTCTCTCTCCCTCTCTCTCTCCGTCTCACGCCTAGAAGTGGAATGTGAGTCAGACCAAGATCCGCATCATCTCAACCATCATATTTATACTGTTCGGCTGCGTGCTCTTTGTCGCTCTGCCCGCGATCATATTCAGGCATATAGAAGGCTGGAGCGCCCTGGACGCCATTTACTTTGTGGTCATCACTTTGACAACCATTGGGTTTGGCGACTACGTCGCAGGTAAGGCTTTGCTGGCATGGGCCCTGCCTCCTAACCCGTGTTCTTGGGTTTGTAGCACAACATGGTGGTGGAGACCAAAGCTTGTCCCGGAAGAGCGAAGGCACACGGGAGGATGGTGCTGGATGTTTGGTTTTCATTCTCGGAAAGACATTTCAGTTGCTGTTGGTTCAGAATTTTGCATTCCCACACTAATTTCAGAAACCAAATCTCTGCCCCTTGATTCCCCTTTCTTACCCCCCGCCCCCCACCCTGCAGTGATACGGGAATTCAGGCTTAACTCATCCTTGCTTTTTCTGCTTAGGCCCTTTCCTGCCTTAGTTTTAAAAAACAGCTGCAAACTTCGGAAGGTCCTCTTGGCTGTGTGAAACCTTCTTTTCTCTGTGGTGTTTACCTCATTTGATTGTCAGTTCTCAGGACGGTATTTTTGACCTTACCTAAAGCGTCTACATGTCTCTATTCACGTTTTTTGCTTTTTTTTCCTACAAATGTTATTTCAACTGCCTTTTGCTTTATTGTTGTATCTCCTAGGTATTTGGTCCCTCTATCATTTCAACACTCTCTTTCACAGTTATAGTATCCAACTATTATTTTGTTGAAACTATAATTTTAAATAAATTATAATAACTGTGGCGCAGGTAAGATTGGTAGTGCTCCATCATGGATCATTTTGGCTAGCTCCAGAAAATCTAAATCATTCTTTAAAAAAAAAAATTTCAAAGTATTAGAAAAACATACTAAACATTACGTTAATTATTAGTTGCTGTCAAGTCGATTCTGACTCATGGTGACCCTGTATGTTACAGAGTAGAACGGCTCCATATGGTTTTTTGGCTGTAATCTTAATGGAAACAAATGGCCAGGCCTTTTTTCTGTGGTACTTCTGGGTGGCTTTGAACCTTCAACCTTTAGGTTAGCAGTTGAGTGCCAACCTAGATAGTGGTATTAAACTCCTCAGAATAAACTTGCTAGTCTAATTTAGTTTTACGACAGTTTTATACTTTCTGAATGTTTACTGTTCTTCCTTGACCCAAATTTCTGACTGGAATATTTTCAGAAAGGAAAATAAGATATACAGTTGCTTAAGAACTCAGAGAATGCTGGCAGGTCCTCTCTATTAAATTGTTAATTCCATTTTAACTCAGCAGGCCCCCCTATGTGCTATCCTGGAAGATGGGAATGTGGTCACAAGCAAAGTTTTTTGCTTTTGGTAAAAAGTACTATATGCACATCTGTGTATTGGACAGAGGACCTGGGGAAAGAGGATGCATCACTTTGCTGGAGATCTTTTAATTTTATAGCAGTGCAATGGAGAGAGAAATTTCAGTCATTTGTATACCATGTAAGAAAACAAGCTTCAGTCCTAAAATACTCATTATCTGCCTCTCATTTAAGATACATAATTGGCATAAGTAGAAGTGGAAAGTGTGTTAAGATAGGAGAAAGTGAGACACAGTGATGATAAGGAAGAGTATCCTTGCGGTACACTGGTCTTAGACTACCCCGCTCTCATTGTTGTTAGGTGACCTCAAGTCGGTTCCGACTCATAGTGACCGCATGTGCAACAGAACGAAACACTGCCCAGTCCTGCCCCATCCTCCCAGTTGTTACGTTTGAGCCCATTGTTGCAGCCACTGTGTCAATCCATCTTGTTGAGGATCTTCCTTTTTGTCGCTGACCCTCTACTTTACCAACCACGATGTCCATCTTCAGGGACTACCTTTCCACTTTATAAATGTAATTGACAAGACATTGTAGCCATTTTGTAGACTATATAGGTCTTAGATGGTAAGTCTTTTATTTTCAGACCAACAGACTCATGTCGAATGCATTATTTTCAACAATTGACAGATTCTCAGCCCAGTATATCACAACCCTCATGGTCTGAGACTTTCTAAATAAACAAAAATTATAAATAAAAAAGTGGGTGGAATCCCAAAATAATATGGTGTTTGTTACCACAATATAAACTGGCTTAGGAAAAAAAAGAAAGATTTTTACTTCATGGTTGTGTAGAAAATGAAAAAAGAATTTTTTTTAAACTTACTTTAAGGTATCACGCTGACACTGGTTAGACTGTATGCATCTGTCAGTAGCCAGACTGTCCTGCCTCAGAAGAGAAGTTCAGTGAAGACATCGTCTGTGTATTAATGGGGGCCCTGGAGTAGAGTCATGGTCCAGTGTCATCGGGGAATAGAGTAACAGAAGGATACTTGTGTGGCGTTAAACCCAGTTCTGTGAAGTTGACTCCAACTCATGGTGACCCCGTGTGTCAGAGTAGAACTGTGCTCCATAGGATTTTCAATGTCTGATTTTCAGAAGCAGATCCCCAGGCCTTTTTTCTGAGGTGCCTCTGACTGGACTCAACCCTCCATCCTTTCGGTTAGCAACCAAGCTGGTTAACCATTTGCAGCACCGAGGGTCTCCTTGTGTGACATTACGTGTGAGCTAATGAACAACTTTATTGTTACTAGAACTTTATTATATTTACTCCTTTTAAAATCCATTACTTCAACCTTTTTTTTTTTTATTATTTTAGAGAGGAAGTAACAGAAAATGGTAGAAATATGCCTTGGTAATAATCCATGGAGTAACATGATTTGAGTAAGGCCCGGATGCTGAGGAGACGTAAATGAGAGGACACACATTGACGTCAGCTTCGCTAACTCATTCCGCCTGCTCAGTTTACGTTCTGGGGGCTCTTTTGGTCTTTGTGAAACTTTAGAACCCTGCTGGTAGTCCTGCAGTCTGTAAATGCCAGGTCCTCATGTCCAGGGAGCGTTAGGACGAGGTGGCAGATGTGCAAAAGCCTGGGTAGAAAATATGAGCCCTTTGCAAGGTTCTTTGGAAAAGGAGAAACTTAAAAGGATCTTGGAAAATAATTGCCTCCTAAAGTTCAAAAGAGAATACAAATTGGCCTTCGTTTCTGTGTGCATTGACTCTGAAACCAAACCAAACCGTTGCCGTCAAGTCGATTGTGACTCGAACATAGTAAAGTATTACTTTTTGTGGGTCATAATGTTCGTGATACACTATATTAGGGCATAATTAACTTCTGATTCATAAATAAATATAAACGTAGATTTTCGTGCACAGAAGTTTACTGCTGGTGATGTTGAATCAAGAACAGTAAACATTTAAGAGACCACTGTTGCAGACAAATAGGCACAACAGGTTTCTCTGTTGATGTGAGTGAACACAGGGATTCAGCATTTGGGAATTTCTCCCCAGGTAGGTATCACCTGGAAAATTTTAATTTATGTTTGTGTTTATGCAAGGGACGTTTTTTAGTGGTTGGTTGGTTACCTCAGTGACTGGTGTCAGCTCCTCCTCTCTGCCTTTTCTCCTGGCGGCCCCTTTCCTCCTCTCCCTAGTCCCCAACGTGCTGGGCTGAGAAGGGCCTGCGCGCTCAGAGTGCGCTTCAGCACTTGTGTTCTGTGTGTGAATAAACAGGCCCCTTGGCTCGGGCTGGAGCTTGCAGAGCACCACCTTCCTTAAAAGGTGGGAGGAGAGAAAGGATGTTATTTCACAAATTGTCATTTATCTGATTTTTATCAATGCCTGTGGAAACCCTGGTGGTGCAGTGGTTAAGAGTTACAGCTGCTAACCAAAAGGTTGGCAGTTCGAATCACCAGGTGCTCCTTGGAAACTCTATGGGGCAGTTCTACTCTGTCCTATAGGGTCACTATGAGTCGGAATCGACTTGACGGCAACAGTTATAATATAGGAGTCCCTGGGTGGTACAGAAGGATAAACGCTGGACTACTAATTCCGAGGTTGGTGGTTCAAACCCACCCAGCGGCACCTCAGGAGACAGGCCTGACAATCTGCTTCTGAGAGGTCACGGCCTTGAAAACCCTATGGAGCAGTTATACTCAGCTCACATAGGGTTGCCAACAACAACAATAATGATTTATAATATAGATAATATAATGTGGATATGGGGCCCTGGTGGTGCAGTGGTTAAGAGCTATGGCTGCAAACCAAAAGGTCAGCAGTTCGAGTTCACCAGCTGCTCCTTGGAAACCCTATGGGACAGTTCTACTCTTGGATACAATACAATATAATGTGGAGCTCCTGTGTGGTGCAAATGGTTAATAGGCTCTGCTGCTAACCGAAAGATCGGAGGTATGACTCCACCCAGAGACCCTCAAAAGAAAGACCTGGCAATCTGCTTCCAGAAACTCAGCCATTGACAACCCTATGGAGCACAGTTCTGCTCTGACACACGAGGTCGCCATGAGTCAGGATCAACTTGTTGACAACTTTTTTTTTTTAATAATGATTTGTAGTCAAATTTGTAAAGCTAATGGCAATGTTACATTAGAGACTTAACTATTAATTGCCTGTGTTCTGTTTCTTAACTTTCGTCACTTTATTTTCCATTTGACGAGAAGTCCAGGGTGATGAGCTGTTCAACCATGCTTGTCGTATAGACTAAGAGCTAAAGTGTCACTTTCTCGTTTGAATCTAAGAAATAATATTAGTTATATGGAAATGAGTGAAGGATTGTCTTCTACTACTTACGCTGGCTTGGTTGTACAACTTGTCTTCTAGATCCATGCCTTTAAAAAATAAAGCATCATTTGGTAATTCTTCAAAATGGGAGAAAAGTCAAATAACTGCCTAATGTAACACAGGTAAAAAACTTGTTTTCCAGTTTGGTGGCTCCTCCGACATGTACCGTTAGAGTTAGAGTGCATCAGAAGAGCCAAGCCCCGCATTTCCACAGCTTGTTTGGAAGCTGCCCATAGAAGTCCTAAAAAAACTCCTTTTCATAAAACAGATCAGTTCATGAGAGGTAACATGAACGCGTGAAGGCCAGATGAAAATCAGTAGTTTCACAGAGCAGGGTCCTCAAGTTACCTAGATTTCTAATTAAAAAAAAAAAGCACAAAATTCAGATGTTCTGAGAAATTCTCATGGTTGATATTATGAAAACTCATTTTCTATATGGTTATAAGTTTATTCAGCCGTCCAAATGTATCTTCTTGGAATTTTAA